AACTGGCGCAAACTTTCAGCTTTCTCACCCTGTATTTAGCTTCATTGTCATTATTTTATTTTCTTGTCGCATCTTATTTTAGTTTTGTGGACGTCATTTTGTGACTCTTGTGTACACGGCGGCAGGCAAGAAGCAGGCGTAAGGGTTTTAACCTCTCTGCTTCGCCTTGCACGCTGCCGTGTACGTGCCTGATCTGTGCAAAATAAATCAAATCAAATAAAAAATATCAGCGGACACAGGAAAAGTGCTTGATATCGAAGTAGAATCCACGTTGTGCCACATGTGTGCCCGCAACCTTCGCACAGATGTCAATTTGAGTGCATGTAAAATAACCGACGATGGGCCATCTGGTCGAATGGAATCGGCAGGAGCTGTAAAAATCTTTGGGCGTTCTGTTGAAAAGCACCAAATAATGTACACAACTTACATCGGTGATGGAGCAAGGAAAGACGACGGAGCAAGGAAATACGATGGAAAAAAAGGAACACTAAGAAAGGTTTCAGAGACAGTAGCAAGAAAGCCAGAAGCGAAATGTATTCTCCGGGGACATTTTGAGCACCCGTAAGCAGTATGTGAACATAAAACTTCACTTTTCTCAAATTGCATTTTTGTGCATCTTTTAAAATTCAACGTACCTTCCCTTTGAAACTATTGATCCGAATCCGATAAACTTTGCACACATGTACAGCAACCCTTCCCTCATAAATATTTTGAGCTAAAGAAAATCACTGATGACATGCATGCTAATATTAAAAAAAACAAAATCCCACCAAATTTCAAATCACACCCCCTTTGTGGCTTGGTGCATAGAGTGATTTTATTTTTTTGGACACAATTCTCCGGGGAGAATATGATATCTCTTTACTTCAGATATAATCTATGGGAATTCAGAGTAACACTGCCTAATATCATTACATTCCTCTCTGTGGCTGCTGAGAAAAGGTACATTGAATAATTCAACACACCTGAAATTTTGGGGGTGGGCCATAAAAAGGGTAAGTCAACTAACAACAAAAAATGGGTCTTATGTTGTGCCCAGTGGCATTTTTTTTCAACACATGAAGTTTGATGTCAATACATGTACCAGACTCTGAAATATTACATTAAAACTAACATGTACCATTTACCCTACCATACCCACTTAATGGATCACGCGATGATGTCACCTCTGTCCTTTCTTGTCACTTTATTTCTCAATCTTTATTTTTACCTCGTTTTTCGTTCCCCATCGGCACTGGGCGGAAACGAGTCGAGTATCGGAAGAGTTATTTTTTCCGCCGTCAATAAAGAGGAGCAAAAGGCGACACTCGAAGCCGAAAGAAGGATATCTTTCATCCGGAGCCAAGCATCGGCCGTGACGGTCTTCTGTTATTATTCATTTTCCAGACGATCGTTAGGGTCACAGTAAGGCGAACGAGTCCCGCCCTCCTTGACGTTGGACCCTCGGTCAATGAATCAAAAGAGACTGCAGCGAGATAAATTGATAGCCTGATATCCGAGATGCGATTATCATATACCAAATACTATAGAAAGAAAAAAGTGCGAAAAAAGAAGGTCGTGTAAAATTAAATAATAAAAAAAAACATTTTATTATAATACTTTGACGTGTGTGCTTGGGTGGCGCGCGTATACGCCATTTATATGCAGTGTTATGGTAATACTAATCGGAGTGAAAGTGCAGCTTATACAGTCTATGCTTTGCTAGCGGGAGCTGGTGCTGTCACTTTGAAGCATGGATTGAGCACGCGCCCGCTGAACCAGCTCTCCGCAGCGTACGGCCTTCAAAGGTATAACTTGAAACGTGGTTTTTGCTCGTGAATTTTCGCACCTGGAAAGCATGCCGCAGAGTTAAAGCTAGCGCGTCTGTGCACATGACTTGTGACATAAAGTACGTTTTTGCATAACAAACATTTTGAAAACCCCTGGCGAAATGCGAGAACCTCCGCAACTGAATAAAACACCTTTTATCTGTTCGCTCCACAATAACCCCCACGGTAACTGATGTCCTTCTGTAAACCTGCGAGATGTCATTTTATAGAGGAACCGTAAAACAAAAGAAAGATAAAAGTCGCTGAAGACTGCTTACGAGTGTACATTTATGTGGGCGTCTAATATTCTATCCGCGATATATTAGATATAAAAATTTAACATCAAAGCAGTCGAGTGTCCGCATAAAAAGAAATGATAAAAGAAAGATAATAAGCTTTTACGCCCCCATAAAGAATCACCATCCAAAACGGGCATGCTCGTCTGGAAGTTACGACGATGAGGATGAGCGTGAGAAGGGAGGCGTTTTGTTGGCGTAAACCGACTGCGAGAAGCATACATATAGACAGAGGGAGAAAGAAAGAGAGAGAGAGAGGCGGGGGGGGGGGGGGGGGGGGGGGGTCAGAGTCAGAAAAGAAAAAAGGAATTGTGTTTATACAGGACGGGAGGTGGACTCGGTAACGAAGTTCTGTTCATTACCAGCGAAACCGAAGCAATATTTGGTGCAGTATCGGGGTGTAATACCATAGGGACATCGCAGTGTGTACGTTGGAGTACGGGGTATATTGCGCTCTAGAGACTATATGTAAACAGACACATTTCTTCTTTTTTTATTACTGTTCTTTGTTAGAACATGACGTTCCTAAAGGTCTCGTGGGCATCTAACATAGCCCGTAGGATATCCCAAAAGTCTGAGCATTTATTGTGACGTCACCGCACTACGTCTGAATAGAACAAATGTGAATCGGACACGAGCCCATTCACCGTGGGTACCTATAATTGGCCCGGAAGGAGTTCAATGAGTCGAAGCTCCATAGTGGCAGTGGGAGCATAAAAGCTCCTCTTCCGTTATTAGCCGCTGCCCTAAAGCCGCGGTTACGCTGTACAATAGACAGTATTTTGAGACACTAGACAATTTTAGGGAACCGTTTTTGCACATTCGATACGGCACAATGGGCCCTCCGGTACGAACTGCGCATGCGCTGCCACAGAAGACTTCCATGTACGCAGTTCATATTGGAAGGCCCATCGTACCGTATCGGATGTCCAAGCAGGGTTCCCTAAAACTCTCTATTAGGGAGTTTTAGAGAACCGTTTTTGCACGTCCGATACGCTGCGATGGGCCCTTCAGTACCACCTGCGCATGCGGTACCACAGAAGACTCCCATGTACGCAGTTCGTATTGGAGGGCCCATTGTGCCGTATCGAATGTGCAAGCAGGGTTCCCTAAAACTTTCTATTAAGGAGTTTTAGGGAACCGTTTTTGCACGTCTGATACGGTACAATGGGCCCTCCGGTACGAACTGCGCATGCGCTGCCACAGAAGACTTCCATGTACGCAGTTCATATTGGAAGGCCCATCGTACCGTATCGGATGTCCGAGCAGGGTTCCCTAAAACTCCCTATTAGGGAGTTTTAGAGAACCGGTTTTGCACAACCGATACGCTGCGATGGGCCCTTTAGTACCACCTGCGCATGCGGTACCGCAGAAGACTCCCATGTACGCAGTTCGTATTGGAGGGCCCATTGTGCAAGCAGGGTTCCCTAAAACTTTCTATTAAGGAGTTTTAGGGAACCGTTTTTGCACGTCTGATACGGTACAATGGGCCCTCCGGTACGAACTGCGCATGCGCTGCCACAGAAGACTTCCATGTACGCAGTTCATATTGGAAGGCCCATCGTACCGTATCGGATGTCCGAGCAGGGTTCCCTAAAACTCCCTATTAGGGAGTTTTAGAGAACCGGTTTTGCACATCCGATACGCTGCGATGGGCCCTTTAGTACCACCTGCGCATGCGGTACCGCAGAAGACTCCCATGTACGCAGTTCGTATTGGAGGGCCCATTGTGCAAGCAGGGTTCCCTAAAACTTTCTATTAAGGAGTTTTAGGGAACCGTTTTTGCACGTCTGATACGGTACAATGGGCCCTCCGGTACGAACTGCGCATGCGCTGCCACAGAAGACTTCCATGTACGCAGTTCATATTGGAAGGCCCATCGTACCGTATCGGATGTCCGAGCAGGGTTCCCTAAAACTCCCTATTAGGGAGTTTTAGAGAACCGGTTTTGCACATCCGATACGCTGCGATGGGCCCTTTAGTACCACCTGCGCATGCGGTACCGCAGAAGACTCCCATGTACGCAGTTCGTATTGGAGGGCCCATTGTGCAAGCAGGGTTCCCTAAAACTTTCTATTAAGGAGTTTTAGGGAACCGTTTTTGCACGTCTGATACGGTACAATGGGCCCTCCGGTACGAACTGCGCATGCGCTGCCACAGAAGACTTCCATGTACGCAGTTCATATTGGAAGGCCCATCGTACCGTATCGGATGTCCGAGCAGGGTTCCCTAAAACTCCCTATTAGGGAGTTTTAGAGAACCGGTTTTGCACATCCGATACGCTGCGATGGGCCCTTTAGTACCACCTGCGCATGCGGTACCGCAGAAGACTCCCATGTACGCAGTTCGTATTGGAGGGCCCATTGTGCAAGCAGGGTTCCCTAAAACTTTCTATTAAGGAGTTTTAGGGAACCGTTTTTGCACGTCTGATACGGTACAATGGGCCCTCCGGTACGAACTGCGCATGCGCTGCCACAGAAGACTCGCACATGCGCAGTTCGTACCAGGAGGGCCCATCCTACCGTATCGGAAGTGCGAAAACGGTTCCCTAAAACTGTCTAGTGTCTGAGACGTGATTCTTCCTCGTAGGACGGTCCTGTCATATTGGTCATACGAAACAGTAGTGACTGTGGTTTTACACTGTACATTACTGTAGGATAGTTGACATTTCAGTGTTTATCAGTCTTTTTAGTCAGTACACCCGGTACCGAGTATTCATCACAAACCAGGTCCGGCTACTCGGTATCATTAGTCGATCTCCATAAATGCCAGCAAGGAATGAATCGTGATTGATTTTCCATCGTTGTCTGCGGTATTTCGAGGTCTCCCGTGGGCAATTAAAAACAGCCAATTGATAGCTTTTCTTTGTTTTTTTTTTTTTGTCGGTACTCTGCAGGTTTCGACAAGTACAAAGGAGGCCTGGACACCGTCCACGACTTGACCGGCACAGAGTCTGTCTACACTGCCTGGAAGAACATCGAGATCATGTTCCACGTGTCTACGATGTTGCCCCACGAAGAGCACGACCCGCAAAAGGTGCGAACATGAGTACCCTCACCCCATTCATCAACGAAGCTGTCAATAGCTTCTCGCTACCGGCCACGCGGTGGCCGTTTGGGCTAGTTCGTTTTGTTTTTAGCAAATTAAAATTAAGTTAAAAAATGCTACTTTAGCAATAAGCACCTTGCGTTTGTGAGAACGTAAGAGGAACATTGAAGTCAAATAGTATCGTTATACTTTTTTTCCGGTTGCTGGCGTGCTGTCGCCCTTTTATAACTGGAATTGTTGGAGGGGAGGAAAAATATGTGTGTGCTTCTAATTTGTGATTGTATAATTCAAACCCCCGTTGAAGTACCCGCAATTAAAGAAATCATCGTTCTGGTGAAGGTGCAATATAGATCCTTTTTTTACTTCGCGTCTTTTAGATTGCCACTTTTATATGCCCTTCGTTTATATCAACAGTGAACCCTTACTTTTTCGAAACTGTGTTAGATACTGTTCTAGAGCGCAGGTCTCAGGCACCCGTTTCCGTGTTTCGCGGCGTCGGTGTCGGCGGTGCCGTCGGCGTCGCCGTCGGCGTCGGCGTAAGCTCGCCAAATTAGGGGGAACAGTGACGTCCCGTGACCTATGCGCCAATTCAGTTTCCCTGCTAAATTTAGCGGGGATAATTACGGCACATGACTTGGTGTCAAGTCACCTTTGAACAAATTCAGTTTCTCCACAGGATTTAGTGGGAAAATTTACGTAACGTGGCCTCAAGAGCAATTCAATTCCCCGCTAAATAGAGCGGTAAAAGTGACATCACGTGACCTCAACACCAATTCAGTTTCACGCTAAATTTAGCGGGTAAAATGGCGTCATATGACTTGGTGCACGTCACCTATGAAACAATTCAGTTTCTGCGTTAAATTTAGCGGAAAAATTGAGGTCACGTGGCGTCAATTTTTCATCTAAATTTAGTGGGGAGCCCGGAGGGGAGGGGAGGCTGAGAACAAGTAGGAGGGGAGGGTACGAAGGAGGAGAAAAGGAGGGGAGGGTGTGGAGGAGAAGGAGGAAAGGAAGGGGAGGAGTGAAGAGGGGGAGGAGGATGGAAGGTGGAGGAGGGGAGGACGAGGAGGAATGGGGGAGGTGGACGAGGAACAGAGGAGGAGGAGAGGAGGCGAGGGTATGGAGGAGGAGGAGGGGCATTCTCTTCCCTCCTCCTCCTTAAGAGCTGCGCTCTAATTTCGCGTTACGGAGGTTTATAAACGTTTCATTTTTTAACCCGTCCTTATGGCCATCACATACTGACAGAAAGACTCGAGGTTCGACCTCATCGACCCTAATTAATTTCTTTCATATTTAGTTAGATTGGGCACATGCGGTCGTTTCGATGCCGTGAACTCTCTCACTTTATCGAATATTGGTTTGCGAGAATTAAACTTACGCAGTGTTTTCGAATAGGATCTTGACACTGACACAGCAAATGTACAGCATTTAAACTAGCGCTTCTAAGGCTCTTTAAACAGCTCGCCAAAATCGGTTTCTAAACGAACCTCGCTGCAATTTAATACAACGGCAAAAGCAGATGGTGGACGTTTACAGTAGAAAAAAAAAATCAAGGATGGAGCTTATTTTTTTTTTCAAAACAAGAATAACAAAAACCTGCTCTGGGCAACCTACGCCGCCACTTCACAGACGATCGATGCACGCGTTGAGAGAAGTGCTGCCCACAGATGCCGCACGCCGCGTCGAGAAAGCACCGTCCGATTCGTGTTCTTTCGTGAGATTGTCTGCTATGAGCCCGAATCGGCCGGCGCTCCCTCGCCGCGGCGTACGCCCATATATGGCAGCATTTCTCTCAAACGTATGCATAGTCCGCGAAGTGGCAAGAGATGATTGACCAGAAGATTTTTCTTTTTTTTTACTTTTGAAAGAGATAAGTCTATTTCTTCATTTTTTTACCGTAAAATTCCACTACCTGTTTGCCCCTCTGTATCAAATTTCAGCGCGATACGTTTAGAGACCGATTATATATTCCGCAGTGTTAGTTTCAATTAGACCGGTCGCATTTGCTCAACGTCCTGTGTAATTAGCCCTAAATTACCGTTACACTCTATAGACCGACACGCTGCTTACAAACTACTCAGAGTTTGCCCACATCAGGGGTGGGCACTGCGCGTGCGCACAAAGCAAACTCCAGTGAAATGAAGCATCTGAGCACGCGCAGCGTCAGCGCCACCATAGCGTCGTGACGTCAGACCCACAGAGAGCTTAAGATGCGCAGGGCGTGGCGAGAGTCCCGTACATCTGGTTAACTTTAGTATGAAAAGGTGGGCACATAGAGTTGTTATAATGTACGCTAGAGGTTCAAATGGCGCTGGTGTCTATGCGACTTCCGTGACGCAAATTGAAGCAGACAGTAACCAGTCTACTTTTGCGGTGCTCCTGTGCATTCCTATGGAAATACGCGCGTGAGTTTTGTCTCTTCTCCGGAAAATAACATGGAACACTTTTGTTACTTGGGTTGTACGGAACGGCATGCACTTTTATTAACATTGTAAAAGTGTAATTGCTTTAATTGGCACATTTTCCTTTATCGGTGAACGATGTTTAGCTTCGCTTTATTTCAGGACTAAACCTGCGTTCCACAGCACGTGTGTAAAAACGAGCGACGATTCTAAGCAAAATAACAATCAAAAGGAATGTAAAGTGTGCTCAATGTTGACCAGCATTCTGGCGGCGCTTATATATTGCTAATATGTCCGTCTTGTTCCTATCTATACGGGCGGTTATAAAACATTCGAAACGTAAAGAATAAAGTGGGTTATGAAAGGTGCGTCTTCTTATTATGTTTTTTGCCGGGCAGCTTTTATCCGGCACTTGTTCTCAGAGATTTCGATCGTGCGGGTGATGTTTTGAACGTACAACAAGCATCCTCGCGCAAAGCAGAAAGAATAAACCAGTACTTACTTATTGCAAATCGGACTATATTACCTGGCCTTCAATTTATTTTGATCGTACATGCACATAGAGTTACTGATTCAGTGCTACTGCGTAGTTCTTGCAGTCCATCTTGGCTTTCTAGATGTCCTTTCTTCGTTTGGCACGTCTATCCCTCATGCTGAAAAGCGCCGATGTCGTGTTCGCACTAACAGTGTCCGATAGTGCACATAGATACATGTACGAAGCCGTTTGCGCACCGTTTTAATGCCATAAATTAAAAAAAAAACGTAACTAACTAAATATTTTGTCTGCCTGACTTAGAAATGTTCTAAGCTATCTAGTACTCACGAATTATTTGGGATACCTGCTCTTATAATCAAGCGCAGAGAGGAAATGCACTCACTTTTTCCTTAGAAATGCATTACCGTAAGTCAATTTTGGACTGGTTGCTGTCTGCTTCCGTTTGCGACAGCACACGCCACAGAGCCGTGCATAGAGAGTTTGTTCAATGGGAGGCGCGGGCAGACCCCGGGCGTGCACCAGACGCAGAAAGAGGGATCTGCATGCTCTCTTGGACAACCAGAAGCCGAAAAGAATCTCCTAGCGGTGGTAGCGAGAAACAGTTTTAATCATGGGTATATGGTTTCATTAAGCGCGTAAGAGTTAAATGTAGTAACACTTCATGGTTGAAAATAGGGTGTACGTAATGTTTCGATTATAATCATGCAGAAAAATGCAAGAAACGAATGTGTCGATCGAACTCTGTTTTGCTCGGACAGAGTGTGACCGCTCGGTCGGCAGGTTCCTGGCCCTCAGCGCCTAGCGTAAGAACTTGGTCGATCGTTCCGCTAGTCGCAATCTTCCACCATGATTTTGGATGACCGTGATTGAAACATCACGCGCACTATATTTTCAATCACCAAGAGTTACTCCGACGCACTTATTAAGTTTGTTTCTCGCGACTACCGCCAGGGTATTATTTCCGGCTTCTGGTTGGCCACATTCGAATTTGTGAAGACGCCCAGGAACAGGCCCAGCACGCTTTCGGCCAATGGCGTCTCCTCATGTGCGTCCTATACTTCCGAATGAATGGCCAAACTCCCTGTATATATGGCTCACTAGCGCCACTTGAAACTCTAGCGTACATTATAATGTCCCTACGGGTGGGCTATACTCCATTCATCCCTAAGCTGACAGTGCAGTGGAAGCCACGCGCTTGGTGAACCAGTTGTGAGTTTAGCTGTGATCGCATGATCACGCTCCCACCTATACCAGTGCGTAGACAGCAGGGGTTCAGGTGACGAAGTGTGGTCCGCCGATTGGCTCGGCGATCGCGTAGGTAAAAAGGCAAACGGAGTATGGTTGGTGCATTGCTACGAAAATAAAAGTGTCTGAGAAGGGAACAAGAAAAGCGAGAAAAAAACAAAGCGCTACTATTAACTAAACTCTAATACAGAAAAACGCAATAAAATATATGCCTAGTACTCACATTAATCCCGTAATGTACTCAAATTATTTTTATGTCAGATGTAATGATGTTAGATGTAGATGTAAGCGCATCGTTTCGTCTATTCTTTCTGTTGTCCTTGTTGTCTGGCGCTTTTCTAATCTAGGATGTACCAACTTGCCCAACTCCAGATTCTTCTGCAACTAGATTTAATGACACTGATACAATTTGCTTCGCCGGCAAGTCTCACGCAAGTAGCCTAGAAAATTTCTCTTTAAATGTTTTCTTTTTTCATCATTTTTTTTTTTTCTCGCTTGCCTAGGATTTTTTTTTTTTCTTTTCAGCTCAGGCTGGCAGCAACATTTGCGGCAGTGCGCCGCCGAGTGGCTTGACGGTGTTCGCTTTGTTGAAATGTCGTTCTTTCTTGCTCTTTCACTGAGGCATCTGCCGGCTTGACCAATGTAAACACGTCCACACGTTGTCCTAATCTGATAAACCACCGACGTGGCGCATTTCACATGTTTGTTGGCATGCCCCTTGTTGCTTGAGTCACTCGCTTCTCTTTTGTCATTGATTCTTGGGCAAAGGCTTGAAAGTATGCTAGAAGCTGAGAACACAACGGCACATCAAAATTAGTTACTTTCTTTTTCAATATGTGAGAGAG